AGGTTGATGTTTAGAGAGCTATAGAAACTTTTCCAAGCCTATAGAATAATTATTTGTAAAGCTTGGATTTGAACCTAGGTCTCTTAAACTTTGAAACCTGTTTTCTTCCTACTAAGTCTTCCTATCTAATAAAATTTATTAATTTTTTTTGCACCCATTTCATTCTATTTGATTTCTTGTGCTTGTCTGACTTCCCTATCAGACTGAGGTTCTTCAGATAGTGTCCATTGCAGATCCGGGTATTTTAAAAATATTTGTTGAATAAACAACAGTGGCAGCACTGATGTAGTAGCAGTGGGGCATGTGCTGTGAAGTTGTTTTTCTAGTATAAGCAGTTCTGAGTTTACTGCTTCTTATACCTCCTACTCCTTTGATGTATTTATTGCCATTTATTTTAATACATATACAAGCATGCACATAGACACACAAACACTATTTCATCTTCACATCAATCTTTTGAAAGTGGGAATTACTGCCTTCATTTGTGGATCCGGAAAATAAAAGCCTAGAGAAAATGAGACTGACTCAAGATCATATAACTGCCACCCACTGCCATTGAGTTGATTCCGGCTCATAGTAATGTTGTAGGATAGAGTTGTTGTTGTTGTTGTTATGTGCCGTTGAGTTGGCCCCGACTCATAGCGACCCCTCCTTGGGTTTCCGAGGCAGTATCACTACAGAAGTAGATTGCCTCATCTTCCTTCCGAGGAGTGGCTGGTGGGTAGAGTAGAACTGCCCAATAGAGTCTCCAGGGTTGTACTTTACGGAAGCAGAATATCTCTGTGCCTGGTGGACTTGAACTAGTGACCTTTCGATTAACAGCTGAATGCTTTAACCATCATGCCATCAGAGCTGCTTTATCACATAATTCACAAAAAAAACAAACCAAATTCAAACCCACTGTCATCAAGTTGGTTCCAACTCATAGCAACCCCCTTGGGTTTCCGAGGCAGTGAATCTTTATGGAAGTAGATTGCCCATCTTCCTTCCAGAGAGCAGCAGGTGGGTTTTAAACGCTAACTTTCAGGTAGCAGTCAGATGCCTTAGGCATTGTACCATAACTAGTGAGCAGCAAATCTAGAATTTCTGGCTTTAAATTTTGTAATTATCTACTCCAGGCTATCTGTGCTAATGAAAACGTGTACTTTATTTCTTGTTATCTTTACTTGCTTATTGAGAAGTTACATTGACAAAACAGGTGTCTATGAATCAATTATGTCTAAAAGAAGAAACTGTTGGAGTGCTGAATGTATACTTTGTTCATAGTCTATTTATACACCTTTCATTTAAAACAAATGAAACAAGGCATAAATTTTGGTAATAGGGATTAGAGTTAAGAGTTGAGTCAGAGAATAAAATAGCACCAACTAATTTATAGAAAGATTGGATCCATGACCATATTCTTTTCTAACCTGCTGAATATAAGTCCAGCAGGATTCCTGGCACATGCAGAGTGTTCAGTTAATATTTGTTGAATGAATTAACAAACCAGTATACACAAATACCTTTTACAGTGATTTCTTGAGTTTGGTGTATTAATAGTATAACCTCCTAATTCATAAATGTGAGCCATCACTGAATCAGCTGATAAAATAGAAAAATTTGAGCTGTTTTGTCATAAGCATATTCTTATTTTTATTGTGATTTGGTTTCATAAGCATACTCTTAAGCTTGGAGCTACTGAGAGATTCTTAAGCGTAAAGACAATGAAAGACTCTTAGAGTTCAAAGAATGCCATTGTTTTTCTATATCTGTATTACAGGTTTTGATACTTCCAGCTGATGACTTACGTCTTTTTTTTTTTTTTAGTCATAATTCATTTACCATAAAATTAAACTACTTAAACTATACAATTCAGTGGCTTTTAGTATATTCACATTGAAATAGCTATTACCACAATCAATTTTACAACATTTTCATCACCCTAAAAAGAAGCCCAATACCCATTAGCAGCAGCCACTCCCCATTTCCTTATATGAGGAACCCTAGGGAACCACTGATAAGTATTTTGTCTTTATGAGTTTGCCTGCTCTGGACATGACATATGATTGGAATCATACAATATGTAATCCTCTGCATATTCTCAAAGGTTCATCTATGTTGTAGCACGTAATTAGTACTTCATTTCTTTTTTATATCTGAATAATTTTCCACTCTATGGATATACCACATTTCATATATCTGTTTATCAGTTCATGGGCATTCATTTCCACTTTGGGGCTATTAGAAAAAAACTGCTTCTGTGAATATTTGTGTACATGATTTTATATGGACATAACTTTTTTTTCCTTAGGTGTATACCTGGAAGAGGAGCTCTGGTGGTGTAGTGCCTGAGGGTTCAAACCCACCAGCCACTCCTCAGAAGGAAGGTTGGGCAATCTACTTCCATAGTGATAGCACTTCAGAAGCTCAAGGAGAGGTCGCTATGAGTCGGAACTGACTCGACAGCAGTGGGTTATACCTAGAAGTGAAATTGTGAGATCCTGTGTTAACTCATTTAACTCTTGTGTTTAATATTTTGAAGAACTGTCAGACTTTTTGAAAGTAGCCGCACTGTTTTACATTTCGACCAGCAATGTGTGAGGATTCTACTTTTTTCATATCCTTACCAACATTTGTTATTATCTGTCTTGATTATAGCTATTCTAATGAATGTGAAGTTGTATCATTGTGGTTTTGACTTGCATTTCTTTGGTAGAATCATGTGGAACATCTTTTCATGTGCTTTATGTCCATTTGTATATCTTCTTAGGAGAAATGTCTATTCAGATCCTCTGTCCATTTTTTAATTGGATTATCCTCTTCTTATTGAGCTATAATTTTCTTTGTATACTATAGATTCAAGTTCCTTATTAAGTATATGGTTTACAAATGTTTTCTCTCATTCCGTGGGTTGTCTTTTCCCTTTCTAGATGGTATCTTTTGAAGTACAGAAGTTTTAATTTTGATGATGTTGACTTTCTCATCAATTGTCTTTATATAAAAGTCTGGGAAAGTTTTAGTTTTGAATTTAGGACTCAGGATTGTAACCTTTTTTGAAGTGACCCTTTTTGAGTAGGAAGATTTGCTTTACTAATATCTGAAAAATCACATTCACAGTCACAGGTAATCTGGTGTTTTTGTGTAGAATAATTATATGAGCACAATTTATATGTTGTATTACAGTGATTTAAAATAGAAACATTTATATCTGTAATATAACACATAACATAGATATTTAATGTGTTTTATCCCCATATTATTTTTTTTTTCTGTAGAATTGTTTCATAAGTAAAACTATTCTGTGATCCTCGTTATATATGTCACCATTGGTGATATCTTTGGTATTTAAATCTTTTCTTTCCAATAATAAAGGGCTGTGAAAGATTGGAAAATTTGAATAGTGTGTATTATATTAAATCATGAACTAGAAGGACTTTAGGCCTTAACATTATCAATAATTTAAGTTACTAGTACTTGATATCCTCTTGTGGAGAAATTCCCTCCAAATTTTAAGATGGAAAATCCTTTGAATATTTGGAAAAGGGTTACAACTACATGGCTTTTGTGTTTTTACTACTTGTAAGAATTCTAAAGGATCTCTGATGGCATAGTGCCTAAAGCATTTGACTGCCAACTAGAAAGTTAGTGGTTCAGACCCACCAACCACTCTGCACAAGGAAGACTGGACAATCTACTTGCATAAAGATTTACTGCCTTGGAAACCCAAAGGGAGTTGCTATGAGTCAGAATCGACTCAGTGGCAGTGAGTTTATTTTTTGTTTATTTTATTTTTTTGGAGTAAGAATTCTAAGGAACTCTGGTAGTATAGTGGATAAGCCATCTGTCTGCTAACCAGAAGGTCAGTGGTTCAAACCTACCAGCCACTCTGGAGAAGAAAGATGGGGCAGTCTACTTCTGTAAAGATTTACAGCCTTGGAAACCCAATGGAGGTTGCTGTGAGTCAGAATTGACTTGATGGCAATGAGTTTGGTTAGTTTTGTTTTTAGTTTTTCTGTACTGTTACCAATAAGTTAAATGTTTATAAAAAGCTGAATTGGCAAAAGTTGATTGATAGATACATTTACAGTAGTAATAACAACAAAAGGTCAGCTGCTGATGTACAACCAGATACCTCATGGGATTTGGTTTCTTGATCTGGAGGTTTAGGGTCATGATTTTGGGACATCTCAGTTGATTGGGCTGATAATATGTTTCGTGCTTGTGTTCTATCTCCTAGTTCGTTCTGTACTGCCTAGGGTTTGCAAGAGGCCATCCCAGGCACAACAGTTGGGTCTCTAGTCACCTGGAACAGCAGAGGAAGAGAGAGAATTGAGAATAAAAGGAAGGAATGGATGTGTGGCTAATTGCTTCCATGAACAGTTGCCTCCTTTGTTGTGAAACCAGAAGAGCTGGATGGTGCCTGGCTACTATTACTGAATGTTTTAAAGACTCCCTATCAAGAGGGGGAAATACAGAATAGAATTTTAAGTTCACATGGAATCCAGTCTTTTTGAAGCCCTGAAGGCTGGATGAACCCCAAAACTTTTGCCCTGAGATAATCTTTAAACCTTAAACAGAAATAATCACTGAAGTCTTCTTAAAACAAGAGTTTATCTTAACTAGTAAAGAATGTCTGCCTTTAGCATTGTGCATTTTTAAGATCTATTTAGGTTGCAGTTGACAACAGCAGCTCCAGAGATTAGATAGAAAATTTAGGGAGCAGTGAATATATGTTAGTGAGACAGGAGAAATTCAGAAAGGAGTGTGAGAACAGTTGCACAACTGGAAGAATGTAATCACTTTCACTGAATTGTATATGTAGAAATTGTTGAATCGGTATGTGTTTTGCTGTGTATATTCTCAACAACAGCAAAAAATAAATTTAAAAAGACAGGTATAAGCACATTATACAAATAGCGTGTGGGGAGTTAATGCCATGTTATTCCTGTATTCAGTTTCAGCTTCAAAATATGAATATAAAACATATGGCTGAGTTTCCCCCCCTCCTATTTTTTTAGCTTCTCAAGAATTAACTAATCTATGAAATGGCAGAGAATGGAAAAAGTTGTGACCAGAGACATACAGCAATGAACAAAGAGCAACATAATGGAAACTTCACAGGTAAAGTATGATGGTGTGGAGGGAGGAGATCTACTGGTTCAAAGGATATACTTTTCATTGGAATAAAATAGAAATATAAGTAATCCTTGATTTATGATGGGTTCCATTCCTATGACTCCATTGTAAGTCAGTTCTGATATAAGTCAAATACTTTTTTTTCCTTTTTTTAAGTTTTCATTATTACTACCTTTTATTGTCAGTAGCTTTATAAATAAATCTGGCACACTGAACAGTAAATCATAAAATTGAACATTTGAGAATGATATCAGCAAATTACATGTTTCAATTAACAATAAGATATACCAAAAAAAAAAAAAAAGCAACAAATGGCAATATGTGTGGTTTGCCATAACTTGAATATGTCCTGAGTTGGGGACTACCTGTATTTCTAATATTATCTTTTGTTAATATCTTCATAGTAGTTAAATTATGGTCAGAGCCTATAAAATGATTTTTTTTACACTGATACAGAAGCAGCCAGCTACAATCACATCAGCAGTTATTACTTGTTAACCTTATGGTATGATGAGTATTTAATTGGCTGTGTTCGGTGCTCAGTTTTATTATGCCAGTTTTTAACTTTAGAGGCAGATTATGAATTTACTTATTACACTATTCCTAAATACACAGTTCTCAAAAAGAAGTTAACAATGTGATTATTGTAGATTTATTTTAGAATTTTAGTTTGAGATGAATAAATTTCTGTATTTTAAGCAAATTTGGAATTTGTAATAAGTTTTAGTATATTTGACTCTTTATTCATTCTTTTTCTCTTTTTTTAATTGTATTGTGATTTGGATGAAAGTTTACAGAGAAAATCCACTGTTGAATCTAGATGGACACCTGCAAGCTTTTAAGATCCCAGTCACTACTCACCAAAGTAGGAGGTGGAACAGTGTTTTTGTGTAGTATGTTATGCCACTTGAGCTTGATGTCTCCTGCGACCATAGTCCCGAGCCCACTGGTCCAACTACTTGCTCCTTCTGGGTAGCTGGCTGTGGCCAAGAAGTGACTACAACCTTGTCCCTTGTCAGCTCTACTATATATCTGGGGATCCTTACAGAACATACCAATACACTTGTAGAACCATTGTCTGCCAACCCTGTACATCGTCTTGGGCACACTCCCCCCTACGTAGACATACCTAACAGTTCAGCCTGTCCACCTTATATATAAGATATATACCTAGTAAAGGAATGGCTGGGTCAAATGGTATTTCTGTTTCCAACTTTTTCAGGAATTGCCATACTGCTTTCCACAGTGGCTGTACCATTTGACAGTCCCACCAGCAGTATGAGAGTCCTAATCTCTCCACATCCTTGCCATCATTTATTATTTTCTGTCTTGTTGAACTTTGCTACTAGTGCTGGAGCAAGATGGTATCTCGTTGTTTAGATTTGCATCTCTCTAATGGCTAATGGTTGTGAGCATTTCTTCGTATGTTTGTTGACTGCCTGAATATCCTCCTTCATGAAGTGTTTTCATGTCTTCTACCCATTTTTTAATTGGATTATTTGTCTTTTTGTTATTGAGGTGTGGGAGTTTTTTATAAATTCTAGAGATAAGTCCCTTGTCAGATATGTCATTGCCAAATATTTTTTCCCAATCTGTAGGTTCTCTTTTGACTCTTTTGGAGAAGTCTTTGGAAGCACATAAAAATTTAATTTTTGGAAGGTCCCATTCATCTAATTTCTCTTCTGCTGTTTGTGCATTTTGGGTTATGCTTGATTGTCTATTTATGCCATATATTAAAGCCCCTAAATTTGCCCCTAGTTTTTCCTTGAGGAACTTTACAGTTTCAAGTTTCATATTTAAGTCTTTGATCCATCTGAAGTTAGTTTTTGTATATGGTGTGAGGTACAGATTTTTTTTTTTAATTGTGATTTGGGTGAAAGTTTACAGAGCAAATTCACTTTCCATACAGCAGTTCACACACACTCTGTCTCATGACATTGACTGCAGTTTACCCCAATGCAACAGTTCCCCTCCCACATCCTCCCGATAGTTACCTCTTATCTGTATCCGTCTCTCCATGCACTCCTGTCCCCTGAGCGGTCTCCCTGTGCATAAACAGCCCTTCTTTCTCCCATAATTGTTCCCTCCAAAGAGTGTATCTATCTCAGGTAAATATTCACCTCATATGCCTGTCTTCTGTTTGGCTGGAAGCCACAGGTGTGGGTTCAATTCTAGACCTGAAGGGCAGCTAGGGGACATAGTCTCAGTGGTTCCACCAGGCTCTATCAGACCAGCAAACCTGGTCCCCCTTTTTTTTTTCCCAAATGATTTTGAGTTTTGTTCCACTTTGTCGTCCTTCTCTATCCAGGATCTCCCACATAGATCTCCCTCTGAGTGGTTGACAGTGGTAGCCAGGCACCATCTAGTTCTTGTGGCTTCATAGTCATATAGGCTGCGGATCTCATAGTGTACCAGTCACTTGGACTAATTGTTTCCATGAATCTTTGGTTTTCCTCATTCTTTGCTCTGGACGAGGAGAGACCCATCGTTGCATCTAGATGGCTGCTTGCAAGCTATTTAGATCCCAGTCGCTACTCGCCAAAGTAGGAAGTGGAACAATGTTTTGTGTAGTATGTTACGTCAGTTGAGCTTGATGTCCCCGGCGCCTATGGTCCCAAGCCCACAGGTTCAACTTCTTGCTCCCTCTGGGTAGCTGACTGTGACCAAGAAGTGACTACAACCTTGTCCCTTGTCAGCTCTACTCTATACCTGAGAATTCTTACAGAACATACAAATACACTTGTAGAACCATTATCTGCCAACCCTATACATGATCTTGGGTAAAAACCCGCTGCATACAACGCTACGCAACTACTGCCATGGAGTCAGATCCGACTCATAGCGACCCCTCCTTGGGTTTCCAAGGCAGTATCACTACGGAAGTGGATTGCCCAACCTTCCTTCTGAGGAATGGCTGGTGGGTTTGAACCGCCAGCCTTCTGGTTAGCAGTCAAGTGCCTTAGGCACTACACCACCAGAGCTCCTTCCCGCTGCATATATACACCTAATATTTCAGCCTATCTACCCATCTATCCACCTGTATACCCATGGTTGCCTTCATTGACAACACAGTACTGTATGTGCGAAAGGGTTCATCTTTGTTGTCTGCACCTCCCGTGTACCTCTGTCTTCCTCTTCCTCAGTGCCACCATGTTGATCACTCACATTTGGTGCATTGCCCTTCTCTTCATGCAAATCAGTACTTATCTCTACCTATCTAACAGTGTTCCTTCCCCTCTCCACCCCACCTCTGGTAACCAACAAAGAAAATTTCCTTCCATATGTAAATCTTTCTTTGACTTTTACGATGATGAACTAATATGATATTTGTTTTTCTGTGATTGACTTACTTCACTCAGCATAATGTCTTCCAAGTTCATCCATGTTACATGGTGTTTTGCAGTTTCTACGTTATTCTTTAGGGTTGCATAGTATTCCATTGTGTGTATATACCATAGTTTGGTTATCCATTCCTCAGTTGATGGACACCTAGGTTTTTTCCATCTTTTGACTATTGTAAATAGTGCTGCAATGAACAAGAGTGTGCATGTCTGTTCTTGTTATGGCTCTCGTAAGGTATAGATCTTGTTTCATTTTTCAGCAAATGAATATCCAGTTTTGCCAGCACCATTTGTTAAAGAGACCATCTTTTCCCCATTTAATGGATTTTGGCACTTTGTCAAAGATCAGCTGACCATAGGTCGATGGATCTATTTTTGGGTTCTCAATTCTATTCCATTGGTCTATGTTTCTGTCATACCAACACCAGGCAGTTTTGATTACTGTGGCTGTATAGTAGATTATAAAATCTGGGAGTGTGAGACCTCATACTTTGTTCTTCTTCAATAATGCTTTACTTATCTGAAGTCTCTTTTCTTTCCTTATAAAGTTAGTGATTGTTTTTTTTTTCATATCCTTAAAGAATGTTAATGGGATCTGGATTGGGATTGAATGTATAGATTGCTTTGGGTAGAACTGACATTTTCACAGCAGTCAATCTTCCTATCTACAAGCATGATGTGTTGTTCCATTTATGTAGATGTCTTACGGTTTCTTGAAGTAGTCTTTTGTAGTTTTCTTTGTACAGGTCTTTTGTGTCCCTGGTAAGATTTATTCCCAAGTATTTTATTTTTTCGGTAGCTATTGTTAATGGTATTGAGTTCCTTGTTTCTTTTCCAGCAATCTCTTTGCTGGTGTAGTGGCATCCAACTGATTTTTGGATGTTGATCTTGTATCTTGCCATGATGCTAAATCTCTCAATTAGTTCCAGTAGATTTTTGACTGATTCTTGTGGTTTTCTGGGTATAGGATCATATCATCAGCAAATAGGGATAGTTTGACTTCTTACTTACCAATTTGTATGCCTTTGATTTCCCTTTCTTGCCTTATGGCCCTGGCTAGGACTTCCAGTACAATGTTGAATAGAAGTGGTGATAGAGGGCATCCTTGTTTGGTTCCTGTTTGCAAGGGGGATGGTTTCAGTCTCTGTCCATTGAGAATAATGTTAGCTGTTGGTTTTGCATATATGCCCTTTATTATGTTAAGGAACGTCCTTTCTATTCCTGTTTTGCTGAGAATTTTGATCAGGAATGGGCGTTGGATTTTATCAAATGCCTTCTCTGCATCGATTGATATCATCATGTGATTCTTTTCATTTGTTTTATTTATGTGGTGGATGACGTTATGTTGAACCATCCTTGCTTTATTCATTCTTTCATCCTGAAAATTAAGACTTTCATTGAGATAGATGATTAAAATAGAAACTTTGTGTGTTGAAAAGAAAATGAAAGAATTTTATTTTCTGCTAATTTTAATGGTTTTCTTTTTAACCTCTAAATTGCTTTCCATTTCAAAAGCATTGCAAATAATATTCCAGAATGGTTTCATGGAAATTATCTTTATTGGAAGAAGTGCAAGCTCTCTGAAATAGAAATTTATGTTATTTTATTCATTACATTGTCTACCAAGAAGACATTTTCCTGCATTGACCTGAGTTACTTTGTTCTTCAGTAAATTTTACACTGTTTCACCTTGAGTTCAACTCAAAGATTCTGTAAACCATCATTTAGTGCTTTTTATTTTGTTTGAATGGCTCATTATAGGAAATATATTGGAATTAAGACATACACATTTTATACGGAGTCATTGTTTCTCCTCCACCCCTTAAAGTTTTCAAGATGGTGAAGTTGTCATCAAGCATTTCATTAAACTTTTTTTTTTTAAATTGTGATTTGGGTGAAAGTTTACACAGCAAATTCATTTTCCATACAGCATTTCATATACATTTTGTGTCATGACATTGATTGCAATCCCCATAATGTAATAGCTTTCTTCCTACTTCCTCCTTGTGGATAACTTTTCTCTATGTCCTTCATTCCTGCCCTCTGAACTATCTCCCTGTGCAGATACTGCCCTTCTGATCTCCCATGATTGATGGTTCTAAGGAGTATACCTACCTGGTGTAGATGTTCACCTATATGTTTGTCTGTTTGGCTGGAAGCCACAGGAGTGAGTTCAGTTCTAGGCCTGAAGGGTGACTAGGGGCCATAGTCTCAGGGGTTTCGCCTGGCTTTATCAGACAAGTAAGCCTGCTCTTATTTTATCATTTTGAGTTTTGTTCCACATTTTTCTCTCTCTTTTCTGGATCTCTCTTGCTGAGTGTTTGACAGTGGTGGTCGGGTACCACTAGTTCTTTTGGTCTCATGATCATATAGGCTGAGGTTCATGCAGTCCACTAGACCCTTGGAGTGATTGTTCCCTGCTTCTTTGGTTTCCTTCATTCTTCTTTGCTCTGGCCAAGGAGAGACTAATTGTTGCATCTAAATGGCCACTTGTAAGCTTTTAAGACCCCAGTCACTCCTCACTAAACTGGGGTGTAGAACCGTGTTTTTGTGTAGTATGTTATGCCAATTGAGCTTGATGTCTCCCATGACCATAGTCTCAAGCCCATAAGTCCAACAACTCGTTCCTTCGGGGTGCTTGGCAGTTGGTAAGAAGTTACCATAACTTTGCCCTCTGTTAGTTCTATTTATATGGACATTTTTACAGCACAAACAAATAACATATGTAGAAATATCATCTGCTAACCTTACATATGATCATGAGTATATTCCCTTTTGCCCAGACATACCTTATCATTCAGTTTGTCTACTTATGTATCTGCCAGTAGTTGCATTAATCATTTTTAGAATTCAGGAATAGGTATTGCCTACATCATAGTCTCTTCCCATTGGGAGCTTTTGTGCATTATTTTTTCCTTTCAGAAAGCACATACATTTATATATTCTTCCTCTTCCTGAATTTTACATTAATAAAGTAAAATCTGTGAAAGCCAGAACATCTGTATGATGGAAACCTGTCAGAGAAGGAAAACTCACATATTTTGCACTAATAGCAATAGAAAAGTGGTAGGTCGTACCCTGTCAAAGACAAAAAAAAAAAAAACAACAACAAAAAACCAACTTGTGAGACCTGGAAAACAAGGCAGCTATCACAGGTTTCAGTATATTAACATTTCACATTCTTCTGTATCATGTTTTTTTTTTCCCCCTTAATATTTCTTAGAGATACTATAATTACTTGAAGAACTTACTTCTTTTTTTTTATTATTGCTGCATGGTATTCTATTGCACGAGTGTACCATACTTTATTTAATCATGCCTCTGTCCTTATGGATAATATTTAAGTTGTTTATAATCCTTCTCTATTAAAAATAATGCTGCAGTGAGTAAACTTGTACATAAAAGTCATTCTACTTGTGTAAGAGTATGTCTGTAAAATACATTCCTAGAAATGCAATTACTGGGTCATAGTGTATGTGTATTTGTAATTTTGATAGAAGAAAATAATAGCTAATTTTAATTTGATACTTACTGTCAAACTCTTCTGAGAGTTTTACATATATTATTTCCTTTAATCATTACAATGACTACATTGTAATGTAATTATATTAATCATTACAATAGTACTTACTCTAAAAGTTTAAAGTACCGTTGTTACCTTCATTTTATGGATGAGAAAATTGAGGCACAGAAAGGTTCACGAACTTGCCTAAAGTCACATGACTGGGTAGGTGACAGGGCCAGGATTTGGAACTAAGTAGCTTGCCTCCTCCTTTTGAGCTCTGAACCACTTTGCTCTATGATAAGATGCAAAATTGCCCTTCAAAAAGTTGGACCCATTTAGATTTATGCTAGTTATGTACAGGAGTAGAGCTCGTGTTTTAACAATGAAGTAGGGAAGAAGCAATTAGTCCAGACTCATCATCTTCCCAGAATCTGTAGTTCTACCTCAAATTCAACTGCTGGAATCTCAGTATCATTCCTTTAGAACACCTTCTATGTAATGGTCTCATATCCTTCAGTTCAAGGAAGTGGCAAAGGTCAAACCTTTTTTGCCTCAATTGTTTTCTAGGTAACAGTGATTAAAAAGTAGCTACTATGAAAATTCTTCTCCTTGCTAAGCCACTAGATGTTGCTGAAGCTAGACTAGTTAACAGCTTCCTAGAGTTCTAGAACATGCCATGAGTGGTTAGCTAGGACATGGGTAAAATTCTGTATTCATACTATATGCATCTAAGCACTAGTACAATTGTACCATTCCTCTCCAACACCATCTACAATAATAATGACCTGCCAGGGAAGAGGTAGGCAGATACACAGGTAAATCAATTGCCATGAACACTTTAGTTGTAGGGACATACAACAATTCTTGGATTTCTATTATAGATTTCAGTCACACTTGTATTGGGCCATCTCTGTTAATTAATTAGAATTGTGTTCTAAGAGTTGCCTTCTCTGGAGAAGGGGTGATGTCTGGTTAGTACTTGACCTAAATGTGAAACATGTTATTTGAACATGTTTAAACATATAAACATATAGTTTATATGTGGCCTTTCAGATGTGGAAAGGTAGGTGAATTTTGAAAGTCAGAAGAATAAGCTTAAATTGTTAAAAATTCTATTTTAACTTCTACACTGTTGTTTTTCAGACCCCTCTTCAGTAAATGAAAAGAAGAGGAGGGAGCGAGAAGAAAGGCAGAATATTGTGTTGTGGAGACAGCCACTTATTACCTTGCAGTATTTTTTTCTGGAAATCCTAGTAATCTTGAAGGAATGGACCTCAAAGTAAAGAATCTTCTATTACATTTTCTATAAACTTTACTAATTTAAGAATGCCTCACCAATCTCCCATCCCCTGCCATCTTTTCTATCCAAATGGATTGATTAAATTTAAAATACTGTGATGGGAATAATGTGTTCTTGTTTTCTATAGTTTGAAGATAAATAAATGAGGTAGACGTATTGCTGGTTGCCCACTGTATTGTTACAGCCGACTACTGTCTAATGTTGAATCTTCTATGCAAAGAAAGAACACTGAAAATGAGTTTTTTTTCTCCTGGCTTCACTTTTAGGAGAAATCAGGCCTGTGTCTATTAATTACACTAATTCTTTAGCAGGACAAGGTTCAGGATACGTGGCACTTTTATTGCTAGTTTAAGCCAGTGAAGAGGAGTTTACCATGGAACTGTGTTCTCTCCTTAAACTTAGAACTTGTAAGCCCTATTTCAAATATCATAAAGAGCAAGTTGAACTTTCATATGCCTTATCATTTTCTGGCTTGTCCTTCCAAGTTATTATCTATATGTTAACAATATTGTACTTTAGAGTTTATAAAGCATTTTCTAACACTTTTCTGTTCCTTTGATCCTTTCATCAACTCTTTGAAGAAAATGAAATAAGTCTGTGATTATTATGACATTAAAGATAAGAAACTTAATCGTTGGTTAAGTGACTTGCTCAAAGTGCAAATGTTTAAGGAGCTCTGACCCAGGTCCTCTGGTATAAAGGCCAGTGCTTTTTTTTTATTACACTATAATGCTTCTCCAAATTAGAAATTGTGGTGCAATTGAGATGAGTCTTTGTGTGAGGGAATGACTTTGGTGAGATTTATAATAAGAAATTGGGTTCTGTGGCATGTGCCTTCCCATGACCTCCCTCTGCTTCCCACTCCCTCAGAGGCCATAGTGTTACAGTGTTTACATACAAAAGGTTTCAAAGCTCAGCCTGGAAAGAACTGATTCTTCTGAGGAGCTCAGTGCTTCAGCAAATTGTTTTGAGAGTTATGAATCCTGAAAATGAGATTGCAATCAGATATTCATCTATTTTTTTCATTTACCTTTAAGATTATGGCATCGTCAAAACATTGTGGTGTCTTTTTTACTGCTGCTTGCTGTGCTTATAGCTACGTATTATGTTGAAGGAGCACATCAACAGGTAAGAGGTTCCAGAACTAAGTTTGTATTCGTGTACCTTCCCTAGTCCCAAATAATTCAAAAATGGGGATGTTGTAGGTTTCACAGAAATTCTACCTTCAACATATTTAGGCTTAGTTTTGTCTTCTAATTCATCTTGCAACTGTTACCCTTAATGTCAGAGAGGCAAGTTCATTTGCCTATAGTCTGTAAGTATAACATTACAAGGGGAAAAAAGAACATTTGTCAATATCGTTTGTTAAAACAATAAAACATCAATGTATTCTAATAGCAAATGGTTCTGAAATTATAGTTCATATTTTAAAGCATTTTAATCTAGCCAGAGTTTTATGTATAGTTTTAAGTGCATTTCTTTTTTATATTTTTAAGAAAGCTGTGTGTGTTATTAAGAGCTTGTAGTGAACTGTCTTGCTGACTTTTACTTGCCAAACTTGGAATCTGGAAATAAATCTAAAATTCTTCTAAAAAGTCCATCTCCCAGTGAACATTCTAAAGGTTCCTTTAGGTTTGCTTTTGTTTGAAAAACAATTACATCTTAGTTTTAAATATACAAAAATAATTTCATTCTCATTTTGGGTTGATTACCCAAAAATATATTCTATTCAAAAACATTATGTAAATAACTACTGTTTAAGCACTGTTTATTGTTAGTGTTTTTTTAAATGAAGTTTTTGTAACTTTCAAAATTCTTTTTCTCTTTTTTATTTTCTTATTAGTAACTTGCTTTTGTCCTGTAAATGTTGTCAGCACAGTAGTGGGTCTTTAAAAATTTAGAAACAAATCTTTATTCCAATTAGATGCACACATTTTTTGCCTGTCTCTGGCATTGCACATTAATGAAAGAATTAGGCCTCTTCAATAGACTTTTGACATTAATGCTTTCTTCCTATTTGAAACTTCTATTTTATTTCGATTGTAGTTTTTAAATACTCTATTTCTTTTTAGAGAACTCAATTTGTTTTTCACTCTTGTTTTCCAGTATGTGCAACGTATAGAGAAACAATTTCTTTTATATGCCTACTGGATAGGCTTGGGAATTTTGTCTTCTGTTGGGCTTGGAACAGGACTGCATACCTTTCTGCTTTATCTGGTAAGAATTACTTTCTTTTAATAAGCACAACTGAAGAAGGTTTTCTATCTTATAATCAGTGCTTTTTCAAAAGTTAAACTTCTAAAATTTATATTTAATTTCTAGTTCCTAAGTTAACACTTTAAGTTGATTTAGAATTCTGTTTTTCCTTTTAGATTGAGGACTTAGGAAGAAAAAGAAACCCTTAGGCAAATGAGTTTATTAAATTACTTGAGGCAGGTCATTTTTTTTTTTTACTTCAGATTTTAGAATAATGATTCTCTTGCTCATGCAATTGTCATTTTAATAACTGAAGTTATTTAAATGTAAAAAAATTACTCATAAGGATTAGGATGAATTTGAACGGTTTGCTTTTTCTGTTCATCAGCAACAGCGAAGGTGCTTCAGGGATGAGAGTGTCTTCCATCATAGTCTCAAACACCATGTACATATTTGGTTATTTTAGGATTCTTATTAACAGGAATCGATGAAATATTAAGTATATAGAACTAAATTCTTTCTTAAAACCTTTTGAACCAAAGCATAAAAATTCTGCTCCTAGAAAAAAAAAATTTTAACTTAGTTAATGTGATGGTTATGTTTGTGTGTCAACTTGGCTGGGCCTGGTTGAATGGTTGGGCAGCTGGTGGTAGTTATTCCCCATGATGAGACTGGCAGTCAGCTCCATGGTGGAATCTACCACAAGCAGCTGAGTAGCTGCCTTTGGGAATGTGGTCTGCTTCCTGTATATAAGGAGAAGCTTTGAGAATGGTCTCTAGCCTGTGGCAAGCTTGGACCCTGCAAGTAGCTGTGCTGTTGCTCAGCAGCCTGCTATGCCCTGCCGACCTTAGGACTTAAGTTAATGGCCTGCTATGTGGTTTGGTAACATCGGGACTGTGCCTTTTAACTTGTCAACCTTGGGGCTTCTCAGCCTCAGCAGCCAGCAGCTGTCTGAGTGAAGAAACGCCTCTAGCTCCAGTGGGCCAGGAGCAGGAGGCAGAGCTGGACCCAAAGTTGAGGGGCTTTCACCCAGCCCCTAGAGCCTGGCACTTAGAACCTGGACTTAAACCCTCCAAACTTTAAGAATAAACTCCTGTTTGTTTAAGCCATCCCATTTGTGGTACATTCTTGTCAGAGCAGCACTAGGTAACCAGAACAGTTAAAAGAGAATACAAATCTTCCTTTGAATAGTCATATATATACTGAAATGATAACAGGCCTGGGACTATGTTGTGGCAGTAAGACACAGGCACAAAAAGGTCCTTACTCTCAGGATCATGCAAGTGTGGGCTGAATGCCAGAGAGCAGTTACTTAGTAGAAAACAGATTGATCTTGACTGGGAGAAAAACAGGTTGAAAGGATGACATTCAGCTTTACTGTTGGCTAATTAAGTTCACCACTGTAGCTTCTTACAGCCTCTGTGCTATCACTTCATCTCTAAAGTAGGTATGGAAAGTATTAAGGAATGATTGCTTGGCTCAGAAGGGTGTTGAATTAATAGTCTGAATAATGGGAATTAATCTATAATATATAACTTCTCCAAGTTTAATGGGATTTTAGAATTTTGTTCATGTTTGCTTGCTCATTTTAGACCAGATAGGGGCTAAGGTGGTAACCCTTATTAGTGTTACTCTAATATATACCTTCTTAGAAGCATACCACTGCATCCATTGGTAGAAGTTGAGACAGAAGGGATAGGGAAGAAATTACAGATTACAAGATGCCTTTCTGTTCTTGTCTAGACCTGCCCTGTGAGATTCCTGTGAAAAAGCAGATGAAAAACTTGTAGCATTTATAGTATTGGATTAATTAAGAAGCGCCTAAAATTCAACCCAGATGGCAGATTGTAATGAGCCTTAAAAACACAGAAAATCAGAATAAAGAAATTTGTAACATGGAAATCTCATAAGCTTTTTTTCCTGTTTTTTTTCATATCCATCAGAAACATTTAAATTTATAGGTATTTATAAATTGCCTTCATGTTGAAGGCTTTATTATTCTGATTCTATTGATTCATGTATCTAGTAAAAGATTTGTTGTTATGTGCTGTCGAGTCGGACCTGACTCATAGTGACCCCTCCTTGGGTTTCCGAGGTGGTATCATGACGGAATAGATTGCCCAACCTTCCTTCCGAGAGTAAAAGATTTATAAGCATACAAATAAGAGTTTATTACAAAATTGGTTTTGGGGTAAAAAATAAAGTCACATTGCCATAAATTAGTTATTTCTGCACTTGATCAGTGTGCAAGATTAATGGAATGTGAGTAGCCATTTTTACAATTTCACCCTTTTAGAAAGAATTCTAAAAGAGCTATTTGAAGGGAGGTATCTCTGGGCAACATTCCACTCAGTACTGTATATATTATACCAATTTAGCAAGTATGAAGATAAAACAAAGGAATTTCTGAAATGTGTTATATGTAAAAGTTATATAAAACCTTTATGGCATTATTACTGCTGATAAGTAACTGGAGTCCAAGGTGAATCAAGCTGCCATTTCAGCTTTAGCTAAATTTGAAAAAAAAAAAGTGTGTGTGAGTGGCGTTTAGAAGTCTTTCAGTGCCTTAAAGTTACATAAAAGTAAAGGAACTAGGTCTGCACTTTATGAAGGTACAATTCTGCCTATAGTGTGTGAGATAGATTGAAGACAGGAGAGAAGATGGACCGAAAGGTCAGTTGGGATAGTGCTGATGAGAGACGTAGGCTTCTGTGGAAGTGGCAGGAAGTATGAAGCAAAAGGGATATTTATTTAAAAACAAAACTTAGTATACTAAGTCAAGCAGAAGGAAAACAAATGATGGCATAGATCTGTGATAATTGTAAAGAGTGGCTGGGATAGCAGTAGTGTTAGAATGGAACCAGACAAATTTGAGAGAAATTTTAGAGATACAGTCAAGGGTGTGATGCCGATTTAGTGTGAGAGGCGGAGTTATATATAACTGTTGGTCTCTGACTTGAATGATTCAGTAGATATTCATACCATTAACTGAATATAAAACAGTTATGTGTTCATTTGTTCATACATTACATATTATAAGTATCTGAAAAGAGAAATGGAAAGGGATATGGTAATTATATTGCATGGTAAGCAAGATCTTCACCTGATCCAGGTGGTTGATGATGCCAGTGCATAGGTGGGAGAAGGAGTGAGATTTATAAAGGATTAGGAACACTTCACACACACCTCAACAATAAATTATTTTTAGAGAGTTTTAGGTTTGCAGAAACATTGAGCATATGTTGTTGTTGTTATGTGCCATTGAGTCGGACCAGACTCATAGCGACCCCTCCTTGGGTTGCCGAGGCAGTATCACTACAGAAGTAGATTGCCCAACCTTCCTTCCAAGGAGTGGCTGGTGGATTTGAACCACCAGCTTTCTGGTTAGCAGTCAAGTGCCTTAGGCACTATGCTACCAGAGCTCCTATTGAGCATATGGTACACCAAAAAACAAACAAACTCAATTGCTATCAAGTTGATTCCGACTCATAGCGACGCCATTGGGTTTCCAAGGCTGAAATTTTTATGGAAGTAGATTGCCACATCTTCCTTCCATGGAGCAGCTGGTGGGTTTGAACCGCCAACCTTCTGCTTAGCAGTCAGGATTTGCCATATATCCCCTCATCTATGTCTTACCCACACGTACAATTTCCCCTGTCATTAACATCTTGTATTAGTGTGGTATGTTGTTATAATTGGAAAACGAATGTTGATAACATAATATTGTTAACTAAAGTCCATAATTTACAACAGGATTCACTCTTTGTTTTACAAGTAAGTCTATGGGCATTGTCAAATTCATAATGTCATATACCATTACAGTGTCATATAGAATAGTTTTATTGCCCTAAAATTTCCCTGTGCTCTTTTTATCCTCCTTTCTTCCCCAACCTCTCAGCAACCACTGGATCTTTTTACTGTCTCTATAGTTTTGCCTTTTCTGACTGACTGATTTCGTTTAACAATATGCATTTAAGGTTCCTCTTGTATCTTTTTGTGGCTTGATAGGCCATTTCTTTTTATTGCTGAATAATATTCTATTGCATGGATATTAGGCACCCTGATGGTGCAGTGGTTAAGCATGTGACTGCTAAGTGAAAGGTCAGCCTTTCGAACCACCAACTGCTCCGGGGGAGAAAGGTGTGGCAGTCTGCTTCCATAAAGATTCATAGCCTTGGAAACTGTGGGGCATTTCTACACTGTCCTGTAGGGTCACTATAAGTCAGAACCAACTTGACAGCAGTGGATTTTGGGTTTTTGATAGATGTACTATAGCTTGTTCATCCATTCACCTTCTGAAGAAGAACTTGGTTGCTTCCAGTTTTTGGCAATTACAAATAAAGCTGCTATAGACACTCATGTGCAGGAGCAGTGTAGTAAATTACTTAGTATGGCTTTTCTACCCATAAGTCATTGTAAACTCAGTGATGGAATGAGCAACTGAGGAGCTCCTGATTGTAAATGTTATCCACCTGGGTTACTTCTGTTGGGTGAGGCACAACGCAATGTTATGGGAGACTCACTCTCAGGTGCTTAGAATTCTGTTCTGATTGGTTGGTTTGGCTGCTCTGCCAAGCTCAAAAGGAGGCCTCCTAGAGGCAGAACTCTCTCTGACTGCTGGCTGAGGAAGATGTGTTGCTGAAAGAGACACGCATTGCTGAGTGAGACACCGAGGGACACTCACTGTTGGGAGAGAGACTGTGAGAGACTGTCAGGAGAGAAGACTGTGGGCTGGGAGAGAGACTGAGTGTTTTTCCTGAACTTGAATTGTTGCCTGGTGCTTCCCTAATAAACCCCGTAATCTGTGAGTTCTGTGTGGCCACTGCAGTGAATTATCGAACCCAGGAGAGAGGTGGTGGGTGCTTTGGGAGGAATGGTTGGTGAAAAGGGCTGGAGGGAGGCAGCATGTCTGGCCTTGCAGTAATAGGCCTTGGGTTACTGATAGTGATTCTGTCTTCCTCTTGTGAGGTTAGAGGAGGTCAGGAGATGTGGCCTCCTTGCCCTTTTTGCAGCAGGTTTAT